GGACTAAAATCTAACTTAATACTAATAAAGAGTGTGAATTCACACTTTTTATGGGGTGTAGTCCCTGTATCAGTATACTTCACACCCAAAAAAGTGTGAAATCATACATAGATTTTGTTTTTTGAGTGTGTATATATGATGATCTCTAACGCAATTTAAGTGATAAATCACTTGTCACATTGACAGACCTCAAGTGGATATTAACTAGTCGTTATGTTGTATGTCATTCGTGACACATTATCTCTCTCAAAGACGTAAGTCACACGTATTGAAAATATAATTTTTTATAGTGGTGTATAAAACAAAATAAATGGTATGATATTTATCCTATATTGTCTCAGGACAAATAAAATAACAAGAGTTCCCCTTAAAAGACACGGGACAAATAAAATCACAGGACACTCGTCAGAGGCGTCGCTAGGCACTGGAATACGGGACTCGTGCCCCAATTCTATTTGACAGTGCCCTGAATCCCCAGTTGGTGTCTTGAAAAATTAGAATAGAGAACTATGATCGAAACGCCGAAAATTCCCACGCCTATGTGCCCGAGACCCGAATCTTTTAAGCACCTAGCGACGCCTCTGACACTCGTCATTTTCAGTTGCATAAATCATTTCAGTTAATATTATAGTTACCTTCCATAAAATGAACGCTAATTTAAAACACATGATGTATAAGAAACGTTTTAAGTTAGCTGTTATTTAAGGACAATTTCAAACACTTGGAATATTTTAATAAAATGGGTCAGTTCATGACAAAGTATACTTGAGATGTATACGTACATTAATCAGTTTCTTTATCCTGTGTATTGGAATAATTCGTAACTATATTAACGTATATTTTCTTTCCCTGTACCTACTACTAATTAGAAGAAGGCAGACCACGAAAAATCTATAATAATATGACAAGAACTATACTGAATTTAGTATAGAACATCATATCTGATTAGATCATCTGATGAAAGATATTTCAGATTTTCAAGCGAATAAAACAGTTGAAAGCAACACAATAAAACTTTCCGCTGGAATTTTAAATGACGCCATCACTCAGGCTAGAATTCGTTTGAAGTATTCACACGAAATTTAAACTGACACTCTGTTGGTGAACATCTCGGTAGCTCAGAGATAAGTTTGAGGGCTTATAATGCTAAAATTCATGATTCGAGCCCTGCTATGGGTATAACATAGATAGTGTCCTGTTACGTTCGCGCTTACAACAACAAAGAAACGAATTATTCTGACGACAAACAAAAAGTTAAGCAATAAAACTTCCACGAGATGATTAATTTTCTTTGCTCGTTTATAGATGAAAGGAAACTTGGTGTAGGTAAAGAAATTTTTATTACAAACAGTTTCAATGGATATATTATGAAATAACACGATCTACACTTCTATAAAATACGAAACTAATTATATAGAAGAAATTAAGGGTTTAGGCAGACACAGAAGTATATGTGTGTCCAAAGTGTAAAAGGCAATTTTTTTTTTTGCTTATACAAAAAAAACTGAAACCAAAAAGAACTGCCTTTTACACTTGGGAAAGAAAACTGAAACTGACAAGGTTTCGTATCAATGTTCTTTTATTAATCTCTCATAATATATACGCCAGAGGACAAGCTCTGCTGGCTATAGTAAGATGATCCAAGTTAATTAAGCTAATGTGGCCTGCCAATCGTATTATAACCAAATATAGTTTTTAACTAGCGTTAAAAATAATAAAACTCTATAATATTACTTATATATATATATATACAGGTCACGATATCGGTATCATTTATTAAAGTTTCTACGTTAGCCATTCTTTGCAGTTGAAAACCTTCAAAAACTCAAATAGAGCTGTAGTATAGTTGGTCAAGAAATATACGCTGTATTTATCCATAAACGAATTATTTTGGAATATGGGAATTAAACTAGAGGTTTTTAAACGCAATGCTTGCATTTGGCTTGAAACTTTAAAACTAATTAATATCTAACCCGGCACACAGATTCGAGAATATTTATACATATATACAAAAACTATTTAATTTTATTTATTTATTTAATTTTGCAGAACACTATTATAAATAATTAGACTTACATCTAGCATGATATACGTCACCACTGAGAAAAACGAACCGAAGTTTTTAAGTAAATTGATTTAGTTTCAAGTTTTCTTGACCGCCACTAGGTCCTTTGGATCAATACTATACAGTTAACACTGTACGTAGCACTACACAGATTAGTAGCTGTTTATTACTTGTCCACAGCTACGCTACCGTGTTGCGGCCGATTGTTATAGCAGCTCACGTCCAAATTAGAAAAGCTCTACTTACGTCCTAACCTTCCGAAGGCTTAGAGCGTACGAGACAAGAGGAGTAAAGTCCCAGGAGATGAGTGGCCGGTAAACCGCCACTAGACGAACCGGCAGAAGCTACGTTGAGGTCCCGAAAGCCAGAAGGTGCTCCAGCGGCTGCAGCGTAGCCTATTCCGTCTGTGCTCTTCAAAAATGGATTCAAGACTAAAGAATTCACTCCACCACAGCTGTGCCTGCTTGCTTCACCAGGACCATTGCTGGATGGGTAGCTGTAACCTTGAGATCCACAGCCGCACGGATAGACGTAGCCGGGTACGGACACAGACAAACCGGGATAAAGAGATGCTGAGCCGTAGGGTAAACTAGTAATTGGGTAGCTCTTGGAGCTAATAGAAGTCAGAGGCTGGAGGGGATGACTAGATATGAGTTCTGGACTTGAAGTAGACTTGCTATCTCTTTCTTCGGTAGGAGGTGAAAATCGTCCTATCCCAGGGACTGGAGCTGAAACGGGAACTGCAGTTGAAGACTCCATGGTCCCTGAGTGAAAAGGAAATAGTCCAGGCAGGGGCGGGGGTGGAAAAAGACCTCTTGAAAAACCCATCCCCAGGTAGTCCATGGGTGCGGGGATGTATGGCATTGGAAAAGGGAATCTGTCTTTTTTCAGCAAGTTCTTGGGTTTTCGGCGGGGCTTGTACTTGTAGTCTGGGTGTTCTTTCATGTGTAACGCCCGCAGTCTCTTCGCTTCTTCGATGAAGGGTAATTTCTCCGAATCCGATAGATGCTTCCATTCGGAGCCCAGTCGCTTGCTGATTTCCGAGTTGTGCATCTTTGGGTTCTCTAAGGCGATCTTTCGCCGTTGTGCACGCGACCACACCATGAAAGCATTCATAGGGCGCTTCACGTGGACATCATTAGTACTATTAGATCGAGTGGTGGTCAGGCTCATGGAGCCCTGACCACCTGACTGGTTCCCGAGAGGCTCCAGTGTGGCAGCTAGTCGATAGACCTCTGCTAAGCTGGGAAACCGGGTCTCCGACAAAATCATCAAACAAAACACTTCTATTTATGGTCTAATGACGTAGAAATATTATCTTAGAACACCATAGAAAGATACAGTAGTTACTTTCCAGAATCTTTAAGTTTTAATCGTCCTTGAATGTATTGTTTTAGTGAGTTAGAGGTTTGGTACAGCCAGGGGTAGGAGCTAGGCTGCTCGAACAACTTGTTTTATACGCACGTAATCACTGTAAACCATCGATAGATTTTCGAGTGTTTTGTAAGACGTCCTCTCGACACTTGTGTACACTGGATAACGCTGATTGATTTCTCAGTGGCTACAACGGCTCGTCATTCGCTTTATTTACCGCAAGCACGTGTGGCCCAGTGTAAGGCGGGAAGCTCTAATAGCCGTTTACGACAATAGCCAATCAGCAAGCAGTTTACATTCTGTGGCTTGGATATGTAGTGAGGCGTGAATAATACGGTTGAAGAGGTTCTCTATTGGTTCTTTCTTTTTTAAAAGGTGACTGGTGCTAGTGTCGAGTCTTTGGCAGCGAGATTGAGCTGTAGTTATGTTGTTTTTTTATAAAGGTAAAATTATTTGTGATATAAAACTTCAGTCTTTTGCTAGGTCGCGTCAACTGACTTTTTGATACAAGATAATATCTATAACGATCGATATTAGTACAAGGTTTTGGTAACGAACAGCTTATGAAGGAGAACAATTTGTCCATCTTCAGCCATCGCTAACATAGATTTAATTAATTGTTGTTGTTGGGCTATATGCTGTGTCCACCGCGGAGAATTTAACCCCAGATTTTAGAATTTTAAGTCCGTAAACTTATCGCTATCCTACCGGGGACCCACAGATTTAACACTCTATTATGAAATTAGATTTGTAAGGATTTATTTAACCAATTACATCTTACATGTTAAAGCAAATTGAGTTACAAGCTGTATCAAGTGTGTTTCCTATAAATAAAAAACAAAATGATGAAGACAAATAAAATTTATTAACACAATGAGTTCCATAGAAAGCGATTATAAACTCCAAACAACAAATAAACACTGTAAGTAAAAACTATGTAAATATTGTAAAATTTTCTAAAAGAAAACCTTGCAGTGGGAGTCTGCATCTGAGATATTAGGCTAGTAGAAAAAACACGACAAAATAGACTGTAATATGACAAACTATAAATCATTCAGTTGCTAGAAGATCGAAAATAGGGTTTTGTAAAATGTGACATGACAGCATGCTCGTGGAGGACAAATCAAACCGGTAAAATGTGATGTGACAGCATGCTCGTGGAGGACAAATCAAACCGGTAAAATGTGATATGACAGCATGCTCGTGGAGAACAAATCAAACCGGTAAAATGTGATATGACAGCATGCTCGTGGAGGACAAATCAAACCGGTAAAATGTGATATGACAGCATGCTCGTGGAGAACAAATCAAACCGGTAAAATGTGATATGACAGCATGCTCGTGGAGAACAAATCAAACTGGTAAAATGTAACGTCACAGCATGCTCATGGAGGACAAATCTAATATAACTTGGTATGGAGAGAACCAGGTAGATTAGGTTAACGTTTCTGTGACACATAACAACGTGTGATAACTTAGATCATCGTTCGAAGAAAAGACACGATGAGCGAAAAGAACATGGCAAGGGCTAAATGACACAAAGTTAACCTTTTTATGGTCACGTGTAAGACATGAAATTCGAGTTTATGTCAGTTGTAGGTTATACTAATTAATATGTTTAAATTTCTTCTATCTGTTGTTGACATATTGCTACGCCGTTAGTATATTACGGTTTGACAACGTCACACACACCTCATTACGACCGTGAAAGCAGGTATGGCACGGCATACTGCACGTTGTTAACCATGATAAGAGACAAGATTTATTAAAGCGAAAAATAAAGAAATGTTTTAAAGATGTTCCGAATAAAATCGTAAATGAAAATTGTTCTAAAAGTTTGTTTGTTTGATTATAGTTAAGCACAAAGCTACACAATGGGCTATCTGTGCTCTGCACACCACGAGTATCGAAACTCGGTTTCTAGCGTTGTAAGTGTTCTAAAATATACTTTTTTATATCCGACCAGGCATGTATATGTACACAGCAAAGTAGAAGATAGCAATAAATACTTCGTTGGAGTAAACAGGTTTTTTTTTTTGTTGAGCACTTTTTAGTTACCATAGATAGCAATAAATACTTCGTTGGAGTAAACAGGTTTTTTTTTTTATGTTGAGCACTTTTTAGTTACCATAGATAGCAATAAATACTTCGTTGGAGTAAACAGGTTTTTTTTTCTGTTGAGCACTTTTTAGTTACCATAGATAGCAATAAATACTTCGTTGGGGTAAACAGGTTTTTTTTTTCTGTTGAGCACTTTTTAGTTACCATAGATAGCAATAAATACTTCGTTGGGGTAAACAGGTTTTTTTTTTCTGTTGAGCACTTTTTACTTACCCTCGTAAGAATACGCGTGTGTGCAAAATTATTTTCCATATCTTCAGTGTTCTTTTCCTTCGATTGCAAATTAATATATTTATTTTGATTGATTTCGCCGATCGCATAATTTCATCTCAGTTGACAGACGTGAATTTTGAAGAGAATATAGGGTGTATTCATCAAATTACTCCAAATTTTGTTTGTGGTATTTTGTGCACAGATGGAACAGGAGCAAAGGTGTATTGAGTGTTTAGTCGTTTATTTAAGATATTCGTGCAAAGCTGCAGAAAGGCTATCTGTGTATAACCTCCCTAATTTTGGATTGTTAGAACACAGGGAAGATTGTTAGTTACCAGCACCCACCGTCAACTGTTGGGCTGTTCCTCGTTAGATAAATATATGTAGTGGGATTTAACCGTCGCTCTTATAGCGTACTCACTGTCTCAAAGTGCCGGGTGTATTTTTTGCGGCAACAGGCCGCGAACAATCAACCCTCGGATTCACAGTCCGAGCGTATTAACCACTATATAGGCTACGACCAACACATGCGTAATTTTTCCTACAGCTTACGTGCGCTATTAATAAAATTGGCGAATGAATTTAAAATATTAAAAAAGTTATATTGTAAGAAAAAAAAACTCGACATTTACAAAGAATTAACTGCTCGAACTAATTTTCATTTTTCCCTAAAATAAATGTAACATTGATAAAGTCAGATAAATTCCAAAATTTTGACATTCTTATATTTTTAGCATGCACTTTTTAACCATACTTTTAACAGGGTTGTTTAAAAACTCTATAAGGTTATATTGATGAAGTCAGATAAATTCCAATTTTTTGGAATTTTTATATTTTTAGTATACACTTTTAAACCATACCTCTATCAGGGTTGTTTAAATCCATAATGTATACTTATGAGAGTATAGGACTCACGTTTAACCCGTTCGTAACATAATAAGTTCCTTTTAAAAACATGAAACTGCAATCACAAGTATTTCATACACGATCCTTACTGGAAACGAATCAATTTTATGTTGAAATTTCTGATGTATTTCGACATGGTTTTTGATGGATACTTCGAGCTGTTAAAGCGCTGCTTAGTTTTTAGGTTTCCTGTTTCACTTCGGATTATAAAGAATTGGTTGCTGGTGTAGCGAAACACCGTTTCTGCCGACACCTTTCTTTCCTTATAAAGTCTAGGATCATTCTTATCCTGTTCGTAGTGAGGCTTAATTACTACAGCAGGTCGTGTGTCGTGGAAACAGATGAAGCTGCTTTTACCAATCACAGAACCTGGAAATGTCGAGGGATAAGAGATTTGTTCTTTCATCCTTTAATTTGCTTCCTGATTGGAAAATCTGACGCTTTTTTAATCTCCGTCGTCAAATCTGACGCTCTTTTTAAATCTCCATCGTCAAATTCTCCCAGCAAAATATACGTTGATTCTTTAGCACTAATTCACTAGCTCAACATAGGGAAAAATTATATGTACATACTTTTATTCTCGTATTTCTTAGTGTCAAATTTTAATTAAAGAAAAAGAAAACGTGGGCTTTAATCCCTTAAGGTTCATTTGAGGAAGATTTAAAAAAAAAGAAGCTTGGTAAGTGATGAGAATTCTTGTTTGACATACAAAAATAAAAAAGGTCCTAGATAGATGAATATTAAATATATTTGGTATCCTTTCACTCACCCAACACATAAAACAGTTTGGATAAATTGTATCTAAGACTAAAAAGGTAGTTTTGTATCTCTTTCGTGTGATTTATGTACGAGCCGCCAATTCTTGGGCTAATCTTGTCTAGACATGTGGGATTTGACCTACGCTATTATAACGCACTCGCGTTCCCAGAGTACTTAATACAAAATTCTTAATTCGGAGTCTGGCATAGCCCGGTGAATATGGCACTCGAATCGCAATCCGTGGGTAGCGGGATCGAATCTAGTCACCGAACATACTCCCCTTTTCAACTGTGGGGGCGTTATAAGGTTACGGTCAATACCATTATTCATTGGTAAAGAGTAGCCCAAGAGCTGGCGGTGGGTGGTGTTGACTAACTCCTTTCCCTCTAGTCTATTATTTCAAATTTACGAGTGGCATTGCGCGAAATTAAATAAACAAACAAACCTTAAGACAACCTGATCAGCATTATCTGTGCTAGTAATTCCTGGGGATCCTGTATGGTGATGTTAGAATTTAAGCAACAATCTGGAGTACCCGTCAATATTTTTCACGTTGAAAATACAGAACAGTTCAGTTAATTCTTATTCCCTATATGCATTAAAGAGTGAGCAAATTCCATGTACTCTTTCATGTAGGTTTGCATCAGTTTTGTTAGTTTGAAAATGCACTGTTTTTCATATCCATTTCCACGAAAATGACCCAGAATTGCCAGTTCAGATATATCGACCTTTGTTATATATAGATAATATATCCCCTGTATATTAAATCATATTGTGTGTTCGTGAACATGTTTGTTTTTCCGTGAACACTCCACATAGTTTTGGAACTAGCAGGACCAAATTAAGTACGAGGACTTGGGGTGTCCGAGGGTGCCCCTTTTTCATATAAAATACGCGCG